GACAGCGGGCATCTCTGGGCAAAGGTCACCCGCTGGAGTTTTGGTAACCCCTCCATGCGCAGTCATGGACTGTGAGCAGCCCTGCAGAGTGAGGCCTCAGGGTGAACGCTGGGATGGATTCAGAGGTTGCAGCAGGAGCCTGCCAATCTGCAGCTTCCAGCAGCAGATTCTTGTCAGGGAAGATCCAAACTGGGCACCTCTGTGGTCATCACAGCCAACCCCCTTCTGAAAAGATCTCCAATAGATTCACTGAGGCTCTACTTTTATATGGAAACATTCCCTGAATGAGTCTTCTGGTCTACCTCCATGGTATGACACACTGTTTGCCCTCAGGATCCTTCATCCCTACGCTTCTCTGCTAAACGGGTACACAGGTTAATTTTGAAGACAAAGAAATTCTAGGGAACACAGTGGGGGCCTCTGATTGGCCAGAAGCAGCAAAAGAGAGGAAAAGGATGTTGAAAGGGCACTAAAGGCAAAGCTCACCCACTTGTTCCCTGGGTTGCACACCTGTCTCACAGCCCTCAGTATAAGACCTTGATTTCTGCTCTGCCATCAGGCATTGGTGTAAGCTATTTTGTAATTGTCTTCAAGGTTCTGGACAGAACTCACCAGCTGATCTGTGAGCTTGGCCTGCTACTTTTTCACTAATAACTCCTAACCACCACCCTCTCCCAGCTTCTCCTGAACATAAACACACTTCCAAGACTACAGTGCTTGGTACCGTGTTAGAGCACCACTGAATGTTCAATACGAGCCCAGTGAAGTGCTTAAATACTGGTATTGGAAAGATACATTTTGAGAGAGAGAGAGAGTTTGTCCATCTGTCTGTCTACATGTGTATGGTGTACTGATGGCAGAGCTATTAGTATCTGATAAGGGTCGGCAGGCTGAGCTGCCCTCAAGTTTGAAGTATTCTCACCATCTCTTTTAAGAGAACTATTAAAATGGAGTGCAAAATTTGTAGATGCTGACAGGCATATGCAGAACAGATAAACAAGATTATACTGTATAGCACAGGGAAATATATACAAGATCTTGTGGTAGCTCTCAGCGAAAAAAATGTGACAATGAATATATGTATGTTCATGTGTAACTGCAAAATTGTGCTCTACACTGGAATTTGACACAACATTGTAAAATGACTATAACTCAGTAAAAAAAAAATGCTGTGCACTTCCTGGAATAATGCAGAGGCAAGAAGTCACCAAATTAGCCTCCCTGAGGCCCTGACCCCTCTTGCTGCCCTAGTGGGCAGTGTGCCTTAGCGCCACACTGTGCAATGTTCTCAGCGTGATGGTTGTTTAAATCCCCAGGGATGTCTGGGATCATGCGTGGCACATTGATACCCAGTGCAGCAAGTGCCCAGGAGCGGTCTTAGTCCTGGACACGTGGCCATCATTCTAGTGTAGAGAAGTCTGTTTGACATGAACATACCATTGGTCATACCCTTGGCCTGGACTCTTTTAACTCTGTCATCATCTTTCTATTTTTGGTGGATTTGACTGACACTCTACTGCCCTGGCAAATACAGGGCTCAATGTTCTTTCTCTTGTTTCTTCAGCCATCTTAAGAAACAGAAAATTTCAGGAGAGTATGAGCATACTCCTGACACAGATAAGAGAGGCATCTCCATTTCTTCCAAAGAAAACTCTTGTGATCTCCTCCCTGCCATGACTGGAGCCTCCTCCTCACCTGGCCTGTGCCTCCAGAGCCTGACTAGGCTGATCAGGGGTCCATTTAGGTTGGGGTGTTTTAGGGCCACTACTCTAAAAATAAGAGCCTCAGGCTCGAAAATTTGTTGGAAAATAACAGGTTGGGCTCCAACAGGTGTGTGAGTCCAGGCTCCTGGTCAGATTGGAGGGTCCCAGCCACCTTCTCACCATCATGGCCATGACTGACATGGGGTCACTCATGCTCAGTTTTCATGGGCATCAGGGCCATTGCCGGTCCATAGAGAGCAAGTGTGTGAAGTACAAAAAGCCTCTTCTCCAGGCCAACTGAGCTCCTACATGAGGTCTAGTTGGCCCATGAGACACCTACTAGAGCTGACCTTCAGCTCCTTTCTCCCGCATCGATGGCTTCTGTGCTGGAGGCAGGACCAATGACAGCAGCAACAAGCAAACACCTAGGTCTGAACTGGCTTTGAGGCTGTGGGCTCTGTATCATGTCATCTTTTCTATCGACTCTTCTCCAGACTGAGAGGCCCAGAGAGGGGGAGGAGGATGCTAATTCCCAGCGAGGAGGAAGCTGCCTCAGTTTCTTCTTCCACTGCACCTCAGGCTGAGACTGAGTTTGCAGCTCCGGGTGTGAGGAAGGAGAGAAGATGAAAAGAAAGTGAAGGCCATGAGTAGGGGAAGTGAGGAAGCCCACGTGTAGAGCAAGGAAGCTTTGGGACAGGACCTTGAGCCCAGCAGCCCCTCCCATCCCCTCCACAAAGCCTGTTTCCTTGCATCTCTATGGCAGAAACCATACCCAGGAGGGCCCTCACCCAGGCACAGATGCAGCTGCAGCCGCAGTCTGGGCAAGGAACCCTCATGTCCCAGACAATCATATTAAAAAATTAACACTCTTGAATGCCAAGCTAGAGTGACACAGTAAACTCAACTAGGACCCACTCCATAGGAAGGGCTTTATATATATATATATATATATATATATATGTGTGTGTGTGTGTGTGTATATATTATATATTATATATTTATATATAACAACACACACACACAC